ATAAGAATAAAATGTGCTATTTGCCTCACTTGTACGTTGCTTTGGACAAACATCTGCTTAATGATGTAACTGTAACCTGAATGCATGTCTCTGAGCAGCAGGGGGGATTTGCAAGCCCCCACACATACTGAGAAGAGCCCCCCCCACTCGAGTGGCGCGAGGCAATAGCGCTACCCAGCAAGTTAGGCCCTTACAATTTCAGAGTCTCAATGCTAATTATAGCACCGGTTCAAACTCCTAATGTTTTGTCTGGAATAAGATGGAGCAGGGCATTGTTTTCACCAAACAGGGGCCCTCAGCACAGTGTTACTCAGACCTGATCATGGATACACTATGTACTGATGTTCACGCCCAACCCGTGCTCATGGTACATTTGAAGAAGAATTTCAGGAATAACATATGTTGACAGTTCTGTCTTTTATGTCAGAAATACCTTGGAAGAATTGAACACATAATTGTATTATATGCTAAAAATTATAGCACCATGTTTATTAATACAGTTCAGTATCAGTTCCCTCCTTGTGCATAGTGCCTTTAAAAAACAATGATTTGGAAAATATAGCATCATCCCACAAACACATATCATTACACCTGTTAATTGATCTGATGCATTAATCAGTATTTTGCAACAAAATATATGATGTGTAGCTTTCAGCCAGTTGCGGTGTGTTGCATTAAATTTATGACTGAATTTTCTGATGCAACAGTTTCATTTTCCTGGGTCAAATAGTTTCAGATCTCCACTCGCTGGGTGTGGCGATAAAACAAAACAGGGATGCAGGTGTTTTAGTCATGAAATTCCAGCCGGTGTTGCTACACGTTATTACTGTCTCTCGAGTGCTGAATAGACTTACGCACACACTCACAGCCAGTCTACATAGCAAAGTGATACGTCAGAAGTGCACGTCAAATTAAGACTATAGTTTATGCACTATTCACCAAAGAGTCATTTAAACTTTGAATGTTAAGTCACTTCACTGGAACTTTTTTCCAAAGCAATGTGAAAGTTATTATTATTATTATTATTTTAGCAATTGAGGACTAGCCATTCAATTCAGGATAAATACCTCGTTATAGGGTACTATATCCCTCCTTAGGCGTGAATCAGCAGCCTGCAGGATACAAGTTTGAGTTCTTAACTACCCTGCCACAATCTAACTCAGAAGATAGAATATGATTAGTTTTCTTGTCAGAAAGTAGATATATTTTACCAGGAACAAAAAGGTGAGAGAATTATTTTTAAAATACGCGCTGAGAGAACAGAGCGCGCAGGCAAAACACAACAGCTTTTAAAGTTGTAAATCCGTCGTTGAGGAAACTCCCTTAAACCGCGGTCTGGAGCCACCTTGTGGTATTTTTATGGTATTGCATTACATTTATACTTCAGCGAAGACCAGATGATGGCGCTCTCGCATAGCGCTCATTTCACGGGACTTAATCCAAAAAATTCATTAGTTAAAATATAATATCGGGGAAAATAAAGTACTTTCAATGTGTCACAATCTAACCAATGCTGAAAAGTCAATCAAATATTTGGGAGCATATGGTTAATAAAAAAAATAATAATAATCTGGTAACGATTCATAATTCCTCTCACAACCTGCTGCTGTCAAACGTATAAAATTAATAGACCTACATTAAATTGAAAACAAGTTGCTTCTTTCTGGACCACAGCTGGAAATAAATTACAATTTTATTCACATTAACCACAGAGAGTGTATCAAAGTACAAATGCAAGAGGGTTGTGACTTTTCTGTCATGTTTATTATTTTACCCCTGGCGAAAACGGCATCACCGTCAGGACTCAGCATCTATTGAGAAGGGCACACCCAAATACCGGACACACGCTCTTTGATTTCTAACCTTCTAACTGATCCATAACTCGAGAGATTATGAACGCTTTTGTCAAATCCCGAGCACTTCATATATTTTAACAGCTTATTATATTACGCAAAATACCGGTCATCTTATTAAACATAACTAACAACTACCACGCGGCGTCTAAACTCCAGATTTAATTGCACCGCTGAAGTTGCTGACGAGGGCAATTCTTCTCTTTACTGATGTGGATCAAAAACTATGTAGTGTACATATGAGTTAGACTTTCTACAGTCTTCACCAGTACCTAAATTAGATCAATTTGTTTATGATAAATTACAGACTTGTGCTAGGCTTTGTGGCAATGAATCATCATGGTTAGTTGGAGGCTACTAAACCGGCGGTGGGGCCACCTCAAACCATGTTTTCTTTCTCAAAAAAGAAAAGATGACCACGTCGACACTGGGCGGGGATCGATTGGGTTGGTGTACCCTGGCTGGCCATGTTGAAACGTACACGGCAGCCAGACCTGAGTCAACTACGTAGGCTACGTCTGGTCATCGATCACTGATCAATCTGTCGAAATTGTGTATTCGGTTCTGCCGACGTGGAACGCAAATGAAGTATAGGCCCTATCCACTCGTCGTTTAAAATAAAGTAAGTTCTGTCGATATATGCTGCCTTGTCGAAAAATGCTACCGTAGTGCTAATCGATAGCCCGAACCCTAACCCCCCAAAACCCCTAAAACCCTTACCTTAACCCTAACCCTAACCCCTAAAACCTAACCCTAATCCCAAGACGGTGGAACTGCACATGCGCAGAAAGGCTCGATAGCACGTCTCGATAGGTAGTATTTTTCGACAGAACAAAGTATCTTATACAGTACTACACCGTGCTGTCGGTCACCTTTGTCATTTTCTAAATCTATACAAAGGGCATGACAATCTTAAAACAACAAATGCATCTCGGAGCAATTCTTCTGAATAATTACGATATGATTTTGAAAAAAAATGAAACTATATACAGGGTTTTTCTGACACAAAATTCAAATCTCCCCACTCATCGGTATTTACATGTTCCATTGAATCCTTTCTGATGTAACCTGTAGACTTTCAGCTGGATAGGTGCAACACAAAATGGGTGGATTAACCTGCTGCGATCTGGAATTCCTATAGGACATCTCGTGTAGTGCCCGGAGTCTTCACCTGCACAGAAAGAGAAAAATCAGTATTTTCTAAATGTGCTGTCCTCCTAGTATATTGCTAACGTGTTATTTAAAGGAATTTAAATGAACACACGGGCAGTGTACATATTTACTGCTTATTTAAACTGATAAACTTTATTAAATAACATATACAATCCATGCACATGTCACTTTTTCAAGAACTTTTTAACTATTTACGATGTCTTGCACTATAACCGTAACGGTGATGTACACTGGTTTTTGCTGCTTATATTGCGGTTAATATATTCGTATGTCAGTTCCACTTATATTCTATTATCTGTCTATTTTCTATTTAGATTTTATATTTTTAAGTTTAAGTTTTTTTCTAGTATTAACACACTCTGCTAGGCCGATGGGTGAGTCAATGCAATGTAATTTAATTCGTTCTGATGTGCACTAACCAGTGTATGTTTTGAATGACAAAAAAGTGGCTATTCTATTCTATTCTATTCTATTCTATTCTATTCTAAAATACCCCAAATGGCATGTGAATCATCAACGAGTATCAACGCGTTTGATTTCTACTGAATGCTAAGTCTATCTGGAAAACCTATAGCAATTCAATGCAAATACGCTGCGTCGAGCCGGTGGAATTTCGTAAGGTGTTCCATTTCATGAATATCAATATAAGGTAGATAAATGCTGCAGCGTTGTCTAGTTCTTTATTTAGTTAATACGTTTATTTAATTATTTACAGCCTCCTCGATTGAGTAGGGCAGCTGCTTCAAACCCGTGTGCAATAAGTTTATAGCAGAATAGCCTAAACGACAAACAGTGAACAAACAACAAACTCCATATTTTTTTGTAAGCTTGTTGGGTTTTAGAATTTCGTCTTGCTAGTGGTGGATCTGGCTGAATACCAGTCCAGAACCAGGTCTTATGTATTTACATAATATAAAAGAAAAACTGAAAAGTTGCCAACATCATTTGAACATAAGGGGGAGAAGAATAGTTGTTGTTATATGTATTATCCAACTAGTTTACCATTTAATGTAGGGTACTACGGCCTTTTATATAGGTTGTTAAAATGTAAAACTTAATCTGTCATATATCTCAACAGTTATTAAAAGTTGAATTATGAGAAGGCGAGAATAAACATTATGGTACGTGTGCATGTACAGAATCCGAACTTGTTTCAAATGAAACTTGACTGGGATAAAATCTATTTATAAAACACATTTTCCACTTGTACAATATATTTGACTGAATCTTAAAAAAACTGGGATTAGCCCTGGTATAAATATGCACCTGCGAAACAAACGAATAGTATTTAGTATACCTTTAATGTCAATCTGAATGGCGCGTGAACATTCCTGAGAAACAACGGGCATTCCGGACACCCCCAGCAAACACTGAAAACGTGATATTGCTGTATAAAGGTATCCCGACAACCAACGAGAAAAAAACAAATAATCATTTAAGGAGACTGTAGAGTGGTACGTCTACAAGATTTTTACAACCGCTGTTCGCATCTGTTGTGCTTCCCTAAACCAGCGTATACACCCACCACTTGCACAAATTTGGAAGGCAAGCGGTGGTTTTTTTCCCGATGGTCTCTAACCACAGGGCTGTACCGCCCCTCTGCCATAGAGACAACACTTGGTGCATTTTGGGAGATCAGATTCAAGTAATGTTTCCACGGTATTCATAAATCCCAATAATAAGTAGCCTACTGATTTGCGAACATTTATTCTTTTTTTAAAAAGCAGTTAAAGCATACAGTAGTTGTAGATATTCTTGTTTAAACGAACCATTAATGAGCAGAAGCACATCAATGCTTGTAAATGGAGATCCGGCGGCACTGTGGCCTCACGCTGGGGGGGTGAATGAGCGTGCAGTTTGCATGCTCGTCCGGCAGTGCATAGACACATCCGGAGGACACATAGGCCTATAATGTAACGTATTTGCTGATGCTGGTTGTGCTTTTTAATAGTGCTGAGTATGGCCGCTTTTGTGACTTTTTCCACGGATGCTTCCGACAGGGGACGCTGTGACCATATTAAGAAATGAAACATTGCCTTCTATGTTTTGTGAAAGGGAAAAGTTTTTTACTTAGCTTGCATTTTTATTTAGGATGTCTTCCAATATATTGAAATTTACGCGTTATGCTCCTGCTTATCCAATATATGCCCATAATTTATCCGACCCTGGTATGGTCCTTAATTATTATAGGTCTAGTTATTAGGCGTACAGTGAAATACTAAATAGCCTAATTATTTCTATTCTAATCGCACAGAACTATTAAAAAGTAAAACAACTATTTTTCTGTATAATTTCCTGTCCGACATTTAGAGGTTTTTAGTAGGCCTATGGAACTGCACTTTTACGTCTAATTATGTTTTTTTTTATATAAGTTTACATTCTTTGCACGTATTAAGTCTTAAAACCTATTTAGGAAGTCTGTCAGCATTCCTGAGAACTGTCGACTAGCTAATGGGCAATCGACCTTTTGCAGTGTTTACTGGCCGGGATATAAACAGCGCAATTCGATAAATCGTTTGCGTAATCTTTGTCGGAATGCGCCTCTTTCAATAGGCGACAATGGCACTGCGATGGCTGGGCGACAGTGCGCGTCGGCGTGATGGTGTCGTGTATTTGCGCCTCGGGCCACCTGTTTTTGGGGGACAGCAGGGCTGTGGTGGGCGGCTTTGGGGCGGGGTTATGATCTAACACTCCGACCCCCTGCCTTATCCTGCATGACTATATCACGCATCGCAGTGGACACTAGACCTAACTCTGCGCTTGTGGGAGCTGCACGATCTCTGTATGGGCTTCGGAAAATATCTCACGTCGAGAAATCAAACTCAACTTCTGTCTCTGCAAGCGGGTCTTTAACTTTTTGCACACATTTTTTTGTTAGCTATTCGTAGATTGGAGGGAGTGCGTAAAAATCAGGGCAACATCTGTACACATCAGCTCCGTCTTCTTGAAGGTACAACGATGCCTCGGTCTTTTCTCGTTAAGAAATATTTCACCAGTAAAAAGCCGAATTACAGCGAACTGGAAAGCCAAAGCGGTGAGTATCTCGACGATAAATATCTACACCAGGCAGATCTGGGCGTTTTTGTCGGCGCTCCATATTGAAATCACGGTTATTCCAAGTATTTCCCGTCATTTTAGAATGTGCAAGTCGATGCTATCATTCTAAAAAAAGAAATCTATCCCATAAAAAGTCGTTCCACCCCACAGCATGTAGAAATTATTTCTCTTGCCATCTGCGATTTTTTTAATGATAATTGTTTTTTATTCGTTGAAATACGTGTAGGATTTTAGACTTGGACGATGCAAGGCTGTGCTAAACACGCAGGATAGTAGGAGCAGGCTGTTCGGGATTGTGCTTGATGCTGATAGTTTGCAAACTGTTACCTGACACCTTGGGTGTTTGTTTTCAGGCCCCCTCTCAGCAGGTGTGCCGGAGAGGTACCCTTTAGCGGAGCTTCCCACCGGGGAGAACGGTCTGTCTACAGCCTGCTGCCCGGCCGGCCTGGTGTGGGACGTCAGTATCCTGCCCGGTCTCTACACCCCAGAGCCTGTTTCCATTCCCTCCCCCACGGGACCCCTGGACCTCAGCAGCTCCCATTCCAGCAGCAGCGAGGAGGATGAAGGGCGTTCGTCGGATCCCCCTAGCCCGGAGCCTGCCGAACGACACCAGTGCCCGAACTGCGGCAAGAGCTACGGCGGACCGGCGGCACTGTCCCGCCACCGGCTGTCTTGCTGCGGGAAGGACGAGGCCGCCGCACCTGCCACACGCCCCGCTTTCCGCTGCAAGCACTGCACTAAGGAGTACAACAGCCTGGGGGCGCTCAAAATGCATATCCGCTCGCACACGCTTCCCTGCGTCTGCGCCACGTGCGGGAAGGCCTTCTCCCGGCCCTGGCTGCTACGTGGGCACATCCGCACCCACACAGGTGAGCGTCTGCAGCTAGACAGGTTTCGGGGATTCGGCTGGGGGGGGGGGAGGGAGTCGGTTTATGGGAGAGCAGCACTGGACAGGGGTCAGTGAGTTATTCATTGATAGGTACAATCTTATCTGGGTCGTTTAAGCATCGCCGTGAGTCTTGGTGGCTCCTGTCCGATTGATGTCTGAGTCACAGCTCTGAAAAATTCCCGTCCTCCGGTCAGGCTGATAGCGGAGGCCTCCGTAAGATCGGAGATGACTCTTGCCCCCTTTGTTCCAGGCGAACGGCCGTTCTCCTGCCCCCACTGCAGCCGGGCGTTCGCGGACCGCTCCAATCTGCGGGCCCACCTGCAGACCCACTCCGAGGTGAAGAAGTACCAGTGCGCCGGCTGCTCTCGAACCTTCAGCCGCATGTCGCTGCTGCACAAACACACGGTGGCTGGCTGCTGCTCGTCCCCCTCCTCGTAGGAGGACTGACGCACCCATATTCCCCAAAACTGGCCTTCGTCTGCACCGCACTGCAGTCGCAGTGGCGCAGTGGAGAGGGAGGCCAACCGGAAAAGATGACACAGCCTACATGTCTGCGGGGAGAGAAACCCTTCCCACTCCTGAATTTAATTCCTCAAGTCCTTTTTTGAACGTTACAGAAAGAAAAAGACTGTTCCCCCCCATATGAACCAGACAGACTCTACATGTGGAATCCATTCCATCGTCCTCGTGGGATGTGAGTCGGCCAGCCGGAATATGGAGAGTAGGATGTGCAGAGTCTTCCCAGGATACCGGCTGGCTCGGGACTGTGGCCTCGGTGCAGCTGCTGGCGAGTGTGGGGGGGCGTGTAGGTTTGGGGGGGGGGGGAGGGGAGGCGTCTCTCAACACGCTCCACACACATCCAGGAATTTATTGAGACAGCTGCTTCGGCACAGAGAGGTGGAGGCAGGGCGCTGACATATGTGCTAACCCTGACCTTTGGTGCTCCACCAGCAGGTGACCCCCCCACCCCCCCCGTAAACATCGAGAACTGACTGGTGGGAAATCAGGCCGTTCGTGCAGGGCGAATCGCTGGCCTGTGGGTCGCCACTTTCCAAAATGGACCAGATTCTTCACTTTCCACGTCGACATGTTTTGTTTTTGGACATGCAACGACTTTCGGCCGCTGTAACATCCCGGCTGCTTCTAGGCTGTTCTGCACGTGATGTTAGTCTTCCTCTCTCCGGGATCTGTGCCTTCGTTCTGGCAGAAGTAAACTAGACAAAATATGTGCCTTACTTTAGATGGTAATCCTTTCTGTATGTGTGTACTTGTTTTTATACAATGCTAGTGCTGCGGTATTTGATATGCAAGGGGTGGGGGCCACCAGTTTTGGACCAACTGTCAATTACACAACGGATTTTTAGAAATATACCACGTGCGAGTCTGGTTTAAAAATTTGTTTACATTATGGTTTATGTTTTTATCCCTTTAAAGAAAATCAAGTCATGAAAGTTGCAGGGTTGGAGTGGGGGTGCTTTTGAAAATGCCGCACAGCCCCCCCTCAGCAGACTCCTGGTATGATTTTTATCTGATCCCTACTTTTTGTACAGGCATCAAATTAGCATTCAATAAAATAATTTATGTTTGTAACAAAAAAAAGAGGCTGTTTCTGTCCTGGTGTTGTTTATGCTACTGATCTCTGTGCGGGGGTGGTGGGGGGGGTAGGATTAGTGTAGGACTGGGGAGCTGAGAGGTGAGTAAGTCCCCAGCACTGCGGACCGTCCTTTGGCGCCCGTGTATGACGGATGGTGCAGCTGTCTACACGATAACGCCTCAAGAGGAGGACTTCCAGCTGCACATGAACCTGTCCATCCAGCAGATCCCTGGCCTCCTGATTACTGCCTAGTGCATTTTATATTGGAAAAACACGAATAACTTTAAAACCTACTATTAAATCAATACTTTCCCCCCCCCCCCCACATATATATATATATATATGCATATACATATGTAAGCTTTCAACTGAACGTGAAGAACGTGCAAACTGCAGCCATTTGTATATCTCCACCTGAAGCAGGGCCAAACGCTAAGCTCACTGCACCTGGCGTGATTTACCTCGTCATCTTCCTGCCGGTGTGTCCGAAGAGGGTGTTTCTGATAGTCGGAACGCGGCGTTTGGCTTGGCCGACGCTCCCGGGGAATTTACGAGGAAGGCAGACATAGGCTATGAAGCACACGTTAAACTGTGGGGGCCTGAAGACCTCAAGATGTTCAGGGTAGGGTTGGGTAACAGCAGGGCACCAGCGATGGAGCCGAAGTCAAACATTCTGGTGCAAACCACCCTCCCACCCCCGCCCTCTTGGTACGATCCGCCCCGTCCCTTTCGTGTCAGTTTCTATTCTTAAAACGAACAAAAACAAACGCGGAGTCCCTTCAGCGCTGAGCACGCAGTTAGCGGCAGTGTAGGGTGTCCGTAATTGATGGGTCGGGTCCCGCCAGCTTGCTCGTCTCTGGGGCCTCTGGAGTTGTATTATGTGTCTGTCACTAATGGCTCAGGAATGTCGCATTAGTCAAGGCCCACACGCGTGACAACGACGCGACACCGGCGTTTAAAAGGGGACCTCAAAGCCACAGAGCCTGACACGGACAAACCCCAGAAACATAACCCGTAACCGAAATCTATGGCTCTGGTTTCAATATCACAAGAAAACAATACGATACGCTCTTTCATGTGGGCAATAAATTCTTATGGCATAAACGGGGCTAAAAGGACTGATGTGATTTTAGACTAGATCAGGCTGCTCTTTTCATGTTTTTACTGCTAAGTACTATTTTATTTATTAGTCGCCGTTAAGGCCACTGTAGGGCGTCAGATTGATTAACAATTTCGCTTTTCAAATGTGTATCTTTTACCAAGTCTACCGCGGCCCGCCGGAGGGTCTCCACGCCTACGCCGGGCACACACGATCTGCCGCTTCTCAGTGACCTGAAGTAGCTTCAGGGAAGGTTGCAGATTCTGGCTACGCTGGACCGCAGTGTGTCTCCTGTCCTGCGGGGAGGGTGAGGAGGTGCAGGAGGAGCACTCCCTCCAGCCTGAGCTTTGAGCTCTGGACGGGGATACAGGAAGAAGCCTGTCAGGCTGAAGTAAAGGAACCTCATCCTGAGCTGTTGATAAAGAAGCAAAGGGGGGGGGGGGGGCGCGTTCAGAGAGACTTCTATTACTTGGGGGGTGGAAGAGCAGGAGCAAGCCTTGCATCTGCTGGCACGAGACTGCAGTGCCTAACTCAGGTCCCCCTACTCACTGCAGACCAAACGCAGACCCATGGCTGAGCCTGGCCAAGCCCCCAGCTCCATCAGCTGCTCCCCACCAGTGCTGCTCCCTCCCCCTGGCCAAGTGGCCCAACTCCTGGCCCACAGCCAGCCCCAGTGGATCCCGACCAGTACAGAATGAGCCGTAAATTTTTTAAAACATGCATTGTTGTTTTATATTATTGTTGTTTTTTTTTTAACCCATTGCCCGTAGAAACCCTGCAGAATGTTTCCGGCTGCCTGCTGCTCTGCCAGGAAGATGCGGCGGGTGGCCCCTGGGGGCCCAGGCGCCCCGTGGGGGGGCTGCCGCCTGCCTTCCTGGACAAATAAACCCGGCTCGGCCCCGAAGCAGGAAGCGGCTCCGGAGAGGCCCATCGGCCTGCATCCTGCCCTGGTGGCTTCCTGTGTCACACGGGGCTGTTATCGCCGGCCGGAGGCACGCCGCTCCCCCCGCCGCTCCCCCCGCCGCTCCTCTAGCCCCTGGAGGTGGCGCTGCCGTGCCTTTGTCCAAGGACGCCGGCTTGTTTGTTCAGCTGGATGGGCCCGAAATGGCCGTAATGCCACGCAGTAAGGAGGTAACGAGAGCCCCACTGGACAGAACGGGCTAGAACATTATTCGACATCATTAGTCGGTCATTGCCGTCTGTATCTGTGGCCTCCCCCCACCCCCGTGATTTGCTTGGCTCTCCGGCCCCCTGGCTTTCCTCAGACAGGATTTCTGCACCGTTCCAGTGACATCATCTCTCATCCTTGCAAGCGAAAACCAGGAGGGGGGGGGGAGGCATTGAGGGGAACGAGTATGAGAGGCAGAGGACCAAAAAAGGAAGAGGGACATTGTTTTTTTTTTCTCCTGAATAACTCTCCTCCTCCCACTCCGTTTTCCCTGCCCCAGGCTCTGATGACCTGCTGCAGTTTTTCCATAGATTCCAACTTATATCGCTAAGTAAAATTGAGTATGATAAATACTGAGAGACATATGTTCACTGAAAAAAGTTAGATACATGTGTCTGCTGGAGCGAGCGGACTGGGGGGG